TTCCGAAATATCACTTACTCGAACCGTCCTGACCGCGTAGCTCAGTTGGAAGAGCATTGGGCTAGTATTCCAAAGGTCGTAGGTTCGAATCCCACCGGTGCCGGGCATATTATTCAAGCTCGCCCGGTGTGGATATGCACTCAGAGTAACATCGCAAACATATTATTCACCTGAGTACACAACACCAACACAGAAAAAAAAAAAATCATATAATATATTGTTCATTATTCGAAGAAATCTGGGGTATGTTTTTCCAGCTAATGAAGCCACAATGTCATGAAGCATAAATTTTCTGATCGACGAGTCGACAGACAGACAGACAGACAGACAGACAGACAGACAGACAGACAGACAGACAGACAGACAGACAGACAGACAGACAGACAGACAGACAGACAGACAGACAGACAGACAGACAGACAGACAGACAGACAGACAGACAGACAGACAGACAGACAGACAGACGGAAAGAAATTACATATAATTAGGAGAAATTATTACGACGTCTCTGAGTATCCATCACGATATTAACGACAAATGGATGTATACTGTATGAACAAATACGTTACAGGCATGTATAAATAATATGCGATTGTCTGTTCGACATTCAATGACTCGACGCTGTAACAGTTTTATTCCTTAATTGACAGTCTGCTAAAAGATCGTGATCATAGGTAAACTAGATTTACATAAACAAGGCAAATCATTTGTTACTTGCGACGGTGCTATGAAGAATCGCGAGTCGATTCTTTCATTTCCAGATTGGAAATTTAATAGCTTGTGAATCATGCATATTTAAAAACGCATTGATTGAAGTTAATTATTTACATTTTGTTGTCGAGTGCTTCCACTGCATGTCAAACTTAAATTACCTTCAAGTTTCCTTCAAATTCCTAAGAAAATTTGCGAACCTATTTCCCTCTTTAATGAAGCCTGACTTATTATCTGTTGTTGACAAAAATATCTTTCTATTTCTTATCTATTTAAGAATTCATTGGAAACAAGTATGCTTGCACTGGTCATTTGGTCAGGCGCCGTGTGTTGATCGCACGTTCAAAAAATATTGACACCACAGCATAATTATTTCAGTTGCATGTGTATACAGACTATGCGGTGCGAGCAGACATGTCCTTAGCGGACAGAAACTATATAGCATGCAGTATACAACTGCTATAACTAATATATATAAAACCATATATCACTTATAGCTACCACATATCATACTACATGCTAATTTGCATCGAGGTTTCTAGTGGGTATACACATCCTACCTACCTTCATTATTAGGGAGAACAGTAGCAGGACAACCAACAGGACCCAGACGTTCAGGTGGCAAATAAGTATGACGTAAGACTGGCACAGTTAGATTCATAGGTCTCGTGTTTTGTACAACACGTGGGGCGACTAGTCTTGGAGGTTGACCTACAGGACGTCTTGGTTGATCCCTATATTGTAGAAAGAAACGTTCGTGAAGAATTCGTTACTATACACTGATGTTTAGGTTTAACCAGGGTATGATAATGCTGTTTTTACATGATCAGGCCTTAAAATATCGGTCGGTCACGGACATTGTCCGACCCATTCGTGAAATTGTCCGACGTAGAAAAGAAACCACCGGACATTCTGTCCGACCAAAGTGAAACTGAGGTTTATTGTTTGTCCGACCAGAGTGTATTGGTGTCCGACCAAACTGTAGCTTTGTCCGACGTAAATAAAAAAGTACCCTAGCCCAGGAGGCCAGGACTAGAGGCAGGCTTATATGTTAAATGGAAAATTGGAGTACTATTGTATAAAAGGTCAACTGGAAATGTTGTTTTAACGTAGTCGAGCGCGGGGCGGCGAGCGAAATGGTAAAGTGGAAAACGGGATACTGCTGTTCTGGCAAGCAAGTTAATTTTGGCTTGGAAATAAGTATGAAACAAACAAATGTTTTAATATCTTTACAACATTTACCCTACCGTTTATTCATTTGTGTCATTCAGACTTATTTCCGAGTCAAAAATGAACTGAAGGTCATCGGACATATGTCCGACCCAAACTCAACGTCACCGGACATTTTGTCGGACGGCCCTGGAAAAGATATTTTAAGGCCTGTACATGATATCTTTCTAGCTGTTCTAATGGCAAAAAATGGCCTGGAACAAATATCCAAATTGATCTATATTCCTTTCTGTATTCTATAATTGAAAACTAGTTGAAATTTTGTAATAATGTTTGGTAATCGGTGGCACATGCACGTTCATGAAAAAACACAGTATTTTCCGAGCTTATATAAAAATGTTAAACTACCTGACAAAGGTTAATAATAAACCTCGAGCGAAAACCCTTAGCCAGAACGTTGCCGTTTGGAAATTGGTCCCAGACCTCTTCCGTGGTGCTCGATCACCTCGTTGCGATTGGGTGCAGAGGGTTCTGATGGCAGTTGAAAACCCCAAAGAATTTGGGTAAGGAGTCTTGTATTGTAGACCTAAACCCTAGTTTTCATGAGGCTAATTACGTAAGATACTGTATAAAGTCGGCGAGACACAAATCAGTTGTATGTACCCACCAGCCGACTCTTGTATACATTAATGAGTTGAGTAAACTGGTGTAGAACACAGGGGGGACTTAAGATTAAGCACACCAGTCCTCGTACGGTAACGAAATCTATACTGATCAGTCCCGTATGGTAACCAAAATGCCTTTGGTTAATTTGCGCCACTAGCGCATCTCAATAAATACACTAGAACTTGTTGCACACTTGGCGTCTGGTAAACGTCCTTGGACAAAAACACCAGTGGGACGTTCACATTTAGCAACTACAAACATTTACAAATAAAATGCCTGAGAATTAAAGCTAAATACCTTTGTTTGTTTTTGTCCGACTTAGGTATAGATTGTACATGTAGTACTGCAATAGTCACTGCCAGAGTCACGATAACAGCACATGCTATAGCAACACCAACATAAACAAACTTGCTGTCGTCCAATGCAACAGAATATGAATTCGTCACTCGACCATCTTTACTCGCTAGCCTTATATCTGAAGAAAAACAATATAAATTGTAGTATTGTCAACTATGTATAATTATGTGGCAGAGAGTATTTAATTAAAAGTATGATCACTATTTGACCCTTGTTAATTTAATAAATATACGCTAAAACTAATTGGTGTGGCATAACCATGTACTGGAGACGGCAGCTGATTTAACTGAAACTATATTAGCCTGCGTTGCCGAAGAGCCGGCAACGCAGGCTAAAACTATATAGATAGAATATACCTTTCTCACAATACTTTGTTCTTTTAAATTGTAAGTTGGTAATATTGTCACCACCAAAGCCAGTTATATTGAAATGGACGTCTATAGCTACAAAACCCTCCTTTTCGTGAGTGCACGTTGCTGTGATGCAGAAATCTAAAAAAACAATCAAATAAAATTGAATATATAAACTACATACAGTATATACAGTAGTTGGGCGTAAAAAAAAACCTGTGGTTCCGGTTTTATGTCGCGAAAAAATTAGGGTCGGTAGGTCGGAAATTATTTTTTTTTGAATATTTTTTTCATGGTTTTTTCAATAATTAGTGTGACAACAGACGCCATTTTGGCAGCAGCACGCAACCACCCGGAGAAAATAGGGTCGCACTGTTAATCGCGTTAAAAAAATAATAGGGTCGGCAGAAAAAAGTAGGGTCGGTCGGGAACCGGAACCACAGATATTTTTTTGTTACGCCTTGTACCACCGAGTGCTTGTACGTAATGGATTTTTGGTATTGTGTAATTACAATATTTGGTCGTTCTTGAAAAAAATATTAATGTAATACATCTTTGGAAAAAATTGTTCTTTATCAACTTTTTAACTATATTTTCCGGATTCGAGGAATTGCAAATACTCCTTTGTTTTCTCTGTTAAAATTCATCTAATGGCATCATATCCGGTAACTTTGACAGTGAAAAGTTGACCAAAACAAAGAAATTTTATTACATTTCCCTAGTGTAGTGTGCGTGGGTTGAATGAATATTTGCTGTTGCGCGGATGATGCTAATTTCGGTGTAGTTTCTTATAGGGTGTATGCGCACGTCATATTACGTAAATAACTAATTGTAAGAGATTTAAACATCACGCAAACCTGTAAAATAAATTAGCCTACTTTAACCAAATATATTGTTATTCACTCGGACTCTGTTGTGAGTAATATGTTGATCTAAGAAGTAGAGTGCTTGGCACGTTACACTAGCTAGTACGATCCAAATCTCACACAAGCCATGCAATGTTTACCATGCAGTGTGAGTTTCACTAGATGGTTGGGACAGTGTAGCACATGGTTTTAAAATAAAATGCAATTTTCAGTGTATTGACCTTGTGTTACATATAAGTGCACTCTAGCACTGAGGAAACTAGTGAATCTATAGTTAAAATAGAAAGAAAAAAAACAAGCTTTGACAATATATGATCAAATTGATTTCATTAATAGTCAATGCGAAATTAAAACGTGGAAAACTACTCGTTCCCAGGCTCTTTTGTGGATAGATCTGTGTAGTTGTTACATATACTGTATATCCGGAGATGGAGAGCTATAACAAGAAGTCTAGTAAACCTACCTTTTTTCTTATTTGGAATTGTCCTTAATGATGATGGAACTCTAATGTCAACCATCTTGGAGACATTCAGTATTATAGAAATTGCAACATGTAGTTTATTCTAAAATAAAACCCCAGAAATTTCGTTCACAATAGCATTGATTACAGTACGTGCATTATAGGTTTGTATTTTAACGTTTACTTATTACGTCTAAATGCAAAGAACATGTACATGCATCTACCAACGTTGAGTCCCCCACAGCGATTGAGGCAAATATTGCTAATAGTCTGGTAGTTCTGTTATAATGATCAACTGCACTAAGTTAATTCAGTTCTGGGCCGTCACCAGGACATGTTTCCATTACACGACCGAAAGGCCATTCTCCGCGGTTGTCCTCAGGTTCTGCAATCAGCACCACGTCTCCTTTCTTTAAATTATGTCTTGGAATGAAACTATTTATTTCTGACGTAAAGACGAGGAAGGAATTCTATTCTCCATCGTTTTAATAATTCTCGCAGCACTTGTTACACGCAATGCCAT